AAGCATACAATGCATTGCTATTCAACACGGTTCGAGGAATGGCCATTGGAAGTGGAGTTCTAATTTAAATCAATTTTCAATTTTAAAACAAGTATTAGTGCAGAGTTTTCGCACAGGTTCAGCTCATTTATTTATATTTTTATTATATTTAATAATATTATATTGAATAATGTCTCAGAATTATCTTTTATAGATTTCTCCTCATTGTTGTTATTGGAATAGTACAAATAGTCGAAATATTTGGTAAAGATCAAAATATTGCCCACCTAAGCTCACGCATGTTAAGCCGAAGTTAGCAAAAAAATTCTAAACATTATTTTCTCCATTTGCTGCAACAGGAAAACTGAAGGGGAAGGCCAAGGACGTTCCTGAGAACGGAAGACCCGGAAAATGTGTATGTAGAACTGGTTCCCACTCTTCTGAAATATTCTTAACGTCTAATTTCAATTCCATGATTTCCGAAAAATTGAGGAAATGTGGCAAAAATATTTCAGGCGCCGGATAGATATCTGCTGGAAAGAGGGTGGGGTAAAACCCAAAAGCTAGCCCTGGCTAAAATGACTACTAAATCCAACCAGTATTGGAAAGTCATTTTGTTACACAATTAGTTTTTAATAATAATAATAATAATAATAATAATAATAATAATAATAATAATAATAATAATATTTATTGAGTCACACATACAATTACAATCGTGAATGACGAGTCAATATGATGTCTTGGGTGGAGAGAGCGAAGTTACATTACTGTTCAGGAGCAAACAACGGGCCATCTCAGCATTTGCTCAAAGGACCAGGGAAACTGATTCTGATAAATTATATTCAAACACAAAAAATTAACCAGCTTTTAAAGATCTTCTTTATATCCAGGAGTGTTGTAAAATAGAGTGATAATACGGGGGAGATATGTCTTACGAGTTGTTGGGAAAGAAAAAAAAGAAATTGCTCAATTTTTCGAACCTATTTTTTCAATGACTTCATAAATATAATTTTAAAATTGCCTTACACTGTTTTGTAGTAATAAGATTCTAATACATATTCATATTTTTCACAGAAATAATTAGCTAACCCTTCGGGGAAATACTACTACATACTCCTGAACAAGGAATTTCGAATCGAGTCCAAAGCAAACCAAACACCACCTGAGAGAAAAGAATAACGACGAAGACACGACGTCCGTTACGTAACTACATTTTTTATTTTTGTTAAAGTTTGTACAATTGTTTTGTAAATATTGTTTCATAAAGGATTTATTACTGCAAATTCTTTGTCTGAGATTATTTCATAATTTTATCAAGAAAGATATTACGGTAAATGTTCGACATTTCCTGTAAAACTGTTAAATAGAATAGAGAAAAAACCGATAAGGTTTGGAAGAGATTTTTTAGACTTGTGGGAGAGTTTTGAAGAAAACATTAATGGTAGCCACACAAGTTACGATATACTTGCGCAAGTTTAAACTTGCGCAAACATGCGTATTTTCCACGTGACCACAGATGGCGCACGTATGCTTGAACGGTACCATTTCTGTAGTGAGCGTCCAGGTGTTTTGTGCATCGATGGATGACGTTTTGGCCATGGATTAATATTTGCTACAAAAAAGTTGAAAAGACTTGAAAAAAATCGTTCTATATGGTGTGAAGACTGGTTACGAAAATAAGAGCAGTATTCGTACATCAATTTATTAACTGAATTGAAATGTGCTCCAAAAGACTGGCAGAACTACCTATGAATGAATTATATATTATGAATATATTATAAAATACATTATGAATTATATCAATGAATTCCCCCAAAACCTCTCGAACTCCATACATCTCATCACAAGTCGTCATTTTTAACATGTAATCTCGCAAGATGTACGCACTTATCAAAAACAGCTTATCTACTACTGAAACGCGATGTATGCTGCCACAGACGTTCAAGTAAACTTTCGCAAACGCAGCATTGCACAAGTTTGACAATCGAAATTTGCAACGATCTTTTAACTTGTACAAGTCTATAAATGAGTGCGAAAATCTTCCAACACACGTTAAGATATACTTGTACAAGTCTAAACTTGCGCAAGTCTATCGTAACGTGTATGGTTACCATAAAGGAGAGAAAAGACGACACTCTCCCTTATCGCCATCTGACCTCGGCTTCTAACGAATTTGGTCGCCAGATGTCCGGATTTCGGCAGTCAACAACCACCAAGGATACAAGTAGGTCTGTATAATGTATTTTCCGTTTCCCACTTCAAAACGCCAAAGTCAACAACCACCAAGGATACAAGTGGGTTTGTATAAGGTTTTTTTCCGTTTCCCACTTCAAAACCCGCATTTGGCAGAGCATTTATACGCCACAAAGGTAAGCTCTGGCGACCTAGGCCAAGAATGAATTTTATTGGTCGATTACCATGGCAACGTCAAGTAAACAAGACAATGTACAATTGACTGTTGACACATTGGCAAAGAATATTTATTATTTTTCGAATACAGAATGTCTTTCACTTATTTTTTGTTAATATTTATATTAAAACACAATTTGATATATTCTGAATATTATACCCGAAACTATTGCGTCTTCCGTGCATTGAGAGAAAGTATGTGCTGTTGGAGCACAACTAGTTATGTTTTCAGAGTCCTATGCCTTTGGGACGTTCATCTGTTACGTTTTTCAGTTTTTCAAGTTGCTATTACGGTCGTGTGGCCATGCTCACCTCCGACGCGGCCCCTCTCGTGCTGTTAAGATGTTGGGTGGGTTGCGTCGACGCTAGGCGGCAGGCGCAGTTGCAGCGTAGCGCACAGAGACGAAGTTTTTATTCTACAGTTGAAGAGTGAGAGTGGAAGGCAGTCCTTATTAAAGATGTTACGAAGTGATCTACGAAAATATCTTTAAAGGCGTGTTCTATTTCTTTTTTAGCTTGGTTGTAAACGTTTTTATGCAAGTCAGTCTTTGTCTCGTACCCTACAGTAAGCAGTACCAAAATCTGGTCGGAAAGCGATGCGTATGAGGCGGTTTTCTGCTTTTTCTAATTTTCTACTGCACGATTTTCCTGCGGGGTCTCAGGCGAAGCATGCGTTATGTTCCGGCTCTGCGAATGCAGGCGGTAGACTAGTATCATAAGGGCCTTTCAACTCCCCTATAACGTGGAGAGAATTATTACGGGGGCGCTCTCCCCTGCAGCACTTTCTTCAGGAACTAAAACCCGAACTGCTGCCAACGATACAACGTGCGTGGCTGTTGCGGGACGCAAACAGGACCATAATGTTACAAAAGATTGTGCAGATTTTCACCTTTCTTCGGCGGTTTCTTGTGTGTGTTTTTGAAGAATAATTGAACATTTAAAATACTTTTTCCTATTTATCACAAATTTACCGATTTTTATGTGCGGAAATTGGCAGTACTAATCTCCGGCTGTACCAGGCAACACTAGCGCCTCCTAGAGTAGCACCCTCGAGCTTTGCCCCCGGTTTTGATGGAGAGTTCTTAGTATCTTCGTCTTGTCCCGTAGCAGCGAGGCGAGGCGCGGCGAGCGCTCCTGCCGGCGGCCTGCTCCGCCGCGCGCGCGCGCTGTTGCGTCCATGCCAGCTTTTCGCCTAGTTTAGCGCCGAGGCATGTCATGTGGGCACTCCTCGGTATTCTGAATCCGTTCACTTCTATCGGGAGGAGCTCTTCTTTCCGACTCCGCGAAAAGGTCGTGGCTTGGCATTTGAGTTTAAGCTTAACCCATTAACCCTAGATTACAAAGGCGTCGTCTGTCATACGTGACCTGTAGTGCCGAAAGCTTCCCCCTCCGCTTTTCCTCACTCCCCGTTCCTCAAACTCCGTGTACCTTCATTGTGCAAATAGGCAATGAAATACACGAAAGGCTGTACGCGTATATAACAAATATAGAACAAATATTGAACAAGTATTGCACCAATATTGAAAAAAAATTGAACTTTCGCAATTATCGAAAAATCTGACTTTTTAACGAACATAATACCTGCACCATTCTCTTAAATGTCCTTGACACCATCCAACAGCAAAATTTAATCAAAAATAATGACGCCATTTTTTTGAATATTTGGAAAACGTCCCTGAGGCTTCATATTAAGTACCCCCTAAACTTAAAATATCAATTTCCAATTCAAGGGGCCGCGACATCAGTCAGATCGATTGGGGAATATCAATTTTGGAGAAAATCGGCTGAACAGTTTAGTCACTAGCGTTGTTCACAGACGGACGGGCGGATAGAGTGACTCTACAAATACATAGACAATATAAATCAGTTAGGCCGGTTCCCACGGCGCGGCCGCAACGCGCTTCCCTCAAGGAGCAGAGCTCTTCCGACGCCGCCACCGCCGCAGCCACCGCCGCACCCGCCGTGGAAGGGGGTGGGGTCTGGAGGGGTACGTTTCGCCGACCCTCCGGCGACGACAAACAAAGGAACCGGAGCAGGTAGAACGCTGCGGCCGCGGCGCAGTGGGAACGCTCCCATTTGAAGCTGTGTTCTGCTAGCGGTGGCGCGTGCCCCCTCCTCCGCTTCGCGGCCGCTTGCCCACGCCGCGACAGAAGCGCGCGAACGTCAATCATCAGGGCTCTTCGCCGACCTTCCGGCGACGACGGACAAAGGGACCGCAGCAGGTAGATACCTGCTTCGGTCCCTTTGTCCGTTATCGGCGAAGAGCCCTGATGATTGACGTTCGCGCGCTTCTGTCGCGGCGTGGGCAAGCGGCCTAGCTGGAGTTCGGCGTCGGCTACCGCAGCAGCCGCCACCCACAGCTGCACATGAGAAGGCTTCCATTCAAACCAATGCTCTGCTACGCGCCGCGCTGCTGCGAAGCGCGCTGCAGCCGCGCCGTGGGAAGGGGCCCTTAGGCATTAATGATTTGGTAAAGACAGTAAATTTCCTACATGTACCTAGGAGGGCCGCGAAAAATATTTAATCAAAATTCCCGCTTAAATGTTTGATAGTAAACGCGATTGGCGCATACAGAAGTGCGAGTGGGGGTACAGGAGTGGGAGAAGCTTATGTATACAGTCGATGTCTGTGCCCTCGGTGGTTGAGGGAGGACATCTTTCACTCATCCGAGCATTCAGAGCAGCATTGCCGTGGTGTGGTGGCCCTGGTGTTGTGGCCCAGTGGGTGCTGTGTGAGTGTTCGCTCGCTCTGTGGTCGCTGCACGTGGTCAAGAAACTAGTGTTGGGTAATTATTGCTACACACACACACAATGGCAATCACATATTTAACATTAGGCATAACTAAAATAATAAGTCTCAATATTGTAAGGGCAACAGCAAAAATATTAAAATTTTGACGTTTTTAAAATTTGAGCAAATTAAATTACTTAAGCTTTCCTGAACACAATGATATAATTTTTATTGCAAAATTCTATATAGAAGTGTTTTTTTAGTGTATTTAAGTTTAAATCTCTCTCTGCAGCAGGGCGAGGGGAATGTCTCTTTTGTTAGGACTTTTGATTTTTTCTGTATTCGATCAACCTAATTATTTTAATGTTTGTAACCTATGTTGCATCTTAGAAGAGGTTCTGTCCTTCACATTGGCAGAACTGTTCCATTTGTTACTTCGTTATTGTTGCAGTTTTGTAACATTGGTTTGTTTACATCTGTTCCCTGTTTTGTGAGGTTAGAAATACGGTTTTGTGGGGAAGTATAGCGTGTTTGGAAGAAAATCGACTAAAGAGGCAAGAGTTAAGAAGAGGAGGGCAGTTTTAGTTCATAATTAAAAGAAGAAAGGTGTTCTATCACATAGTGCAAGTTACAACTAGTGAAAAAATGTACTTAAAAGTTCAATTTAATTTGACATTCGTTCCTGAATTTTCTATTTTTCCCCACATATGACCTACTTTCTGATATGTGTTAAACATAAAAAGATGAAACTTTCACGATAGTTTTATGTAAAAACGACTGAGATACTTAACCAAATATAATAAGGTAGGTTGCAAAATTGTTGCAATTATGGAAATATGGATTAATTTTTGAAATTATTTTCAATTCTTTTTTAAAATTATGTAAAATTGTTTTGTGATACCATACTCAAATAATTGTGCTTATGTATAAGAATGGATAGTTATAGAATATGCTGTAAAAATTTCAAAGTTCTAAGTAAAGAATTTTCTGAGATAAAGGGTCAGAAATACAGTCAATTTAACATAGGCTGGAGGGGGACTTCAGTACCCTTAATGGATTTAATTTTACAGCCAAGTCTCATCAAATAACCAAGTGATTTGTTTGTTGATATTTTGTAACAAAAATATAGCCTCAAAGGTCATAATTCGTACAACTCTAATACATGTGTTTTTTTTTAAATTTATTTATGACAGTAGAAAAATAAAATAAAAAATGCTCATAGTTGATCATGTTCTTTTTTCTTATCTGTTTTGGTGTTGCAGTGGAGCCTGCATAGGGTGTCATGGGGCGTTCAAATGGCTCCAAATCCAAATGGGGCTCCAAAGCTAAACCGGCCTCTGAATCCAAACAAGGGTTCGAATCCAAACAAGGCTCCAAATCCAAACGAGGCTCCAAATCCAAACAGGGCTCGAAATCTAAACAAGGCTTTGAATCCAAACAAACAATAATTATAGATACCACAAACCATAGACCTAAAGGAGAAGGAGGTGGTCTGACTGTCCAGATGAAACCCCCCACAAAAACATCTCAGAAATCAAAGTTAAATTGGAATTGGGGATTTCTATCTATGTATGAAAAAAGAAGAATGATAAAAGAAAATTTAGGGGGAATGGGTAAGGAAAGAACTGGATCTAGGCCATCTGTAAATGGTAAGTTTGAATTGTGAACTCTCTATGATGCTTTCTCAGTCAAAAGGACGTTTCAGTAGTCATTGTTCTTTTGTGTGTGTGTGTGTGTGTGTAGTAGCGAACAGAGTACATCCTAGTGAAGCAAGGAGGTGGAGAGGGAGGAGGGGAATGGAAAGGAGGTAGGAGTGTCTCTATATGCCCTCGCTCAAACCTTACAAAAAGCGCTCTGAAGTAAATAAATACAACCTATCAAAGTGCAATTTCTTCAGGTTTCATACAAGGTTGGAGACACCCTCAAGGAAAGATAAGAATCATTCATAGTTGATTTGCTTCTTGCGAATCACTTCCCCTTTCGCACAGAACAAATGAATGACCTCTTTCTTACTACACTTCCACCCGAAACTACCACACTACTCATACCACTTGGCCAACCTTATAAGACATGCATTGTACCCAATTACTGAAGCAATAAGTCCATGATTTTGGATCCACTTATTTGTGACCAAACACCTCATTCACCCCCAGGCATAAAGAACCGTATTTAATCAGACCATTGTAACACAACATTTGATGTTCACACATTGCAAAAAATGAAAAAGTGCAAGAATCATAACAGATCAACAGAACTTAGCTAATCACTGTCAGTTACCCTTACACAAAAAATTAAAATAAAACTGCAAAATTACCACTATACAACTTTTGTATCAACATACAGAATATAGTCATGGTGCTCCAACAAAATATTAAAATGTAACAAAGAAAGTAAATCAATCATGAAGTATTAAAATTATTTGAGTAGTTTACTTTTTAAAATGTATTTAGATTGCTCATGTGTTGCTTATTGTAGTCATAAATTATGTTTTGTAAATTTACCATTTTTGCCCATAAATTGCCCATTTTTAAAAATAAGTATTTTTGATGGTTTTCCAGAAGATCATAAATGAATCAATGCAAACAAATTTTGATGTCACATTTTGCCAGCTTTGAGTTAACAATAGGAAACTGTTCTTAAAATATAAATTCAACTTTCTATGCATAAAAGTTAATTATTTGTGAACTCTCTGACATCTGAAGAGTGTCTTTCAATTATTCATGTTAAGAAAAAATGATCAGTGTCTGGAGCATCAAATCTTTTTGCTTGCTTTTCAAAATTTGAAAACCGTTTGAGTACCGTTTTCTCCACTTCAAATGTCATACCTTATGAACTGAGAGGTTATGGTGAGGTAACATCAACTTGAATATGTAGATGTCAATGGGCTAACAATTAATAAATATATTAAAATAGAAAGCAAAATGTGTTAAGCAAAAATGTTGTGTGTGATAGGAAATGCAAAACCAGGAGCATAATTCACGAACGCTTGAGGAAGGAATTACAAATTACGCAGAAGTTAAAGTAATAAGTGTAGATTCAAAGGAACTGTCATGTAGTGAAGCTAGGATTGTACTTAGTGAGAGAGAAACATTACTAAAGGCAAATGAAAGCTGTGAAACGTAATGGGGGAAAATAAAAATATCCATTTAATATTTGTTCAGGGCCAATTATTCTATCTACGGCATACACCATAGATTTGAACAATGAAACTTAATTAAATATTAAATTATTAATATTAAAATATTAAATTAAAACACATTCAAATTCAAAATAGAAGAGAACACTTATGCAAAATAATGATTAAAAAAAAAAACTCAGGCGCATTGTTCCTATATCTTTTTATTAATTTTTTTTTCCTCTCAAAGTATGAGACCTGACATTGCTTATACTAGTGTACTATGGAATACTTCATCCACACCTACAATACAGAATTAAATTTTGGGGTACATACCAAGGAAATGTGGACAGAATAATGACACTACAGAAACGGGCACATTTTCAACTTGCAACCCCGACATTCCTTTTCTGATGATTATTCTTACAAAGCAATGGGTTGCAAATGACTGCTTTAAATGTTCAAAAATATAACTTCCTTTTTTATCTCTTAATTTGATTCTGTATTGGCAAAAATTCTGCTCAACATTAGAAAATGTTATGGAGACTGTCTTTAATTCTGAAATAGGTTGCAGTATTAAATACAGATCAACTTCTAAACCTGATTTAACACTAAATTGTAAATAATAGTTGTGAATAATAAATCAAGGAATGAATTTGAAAGACTATAATAATATGGATCCTATTGCAAGTGAAATGTTGGAATATGCAGACATGCAATTATTAAATGTGTACTACATATGGACAGATGTATATAATCAAATAGGCTTCAAATCACTTCAAAGAGCCTCATTTGTAAATGCATGACAAAAGAAATTAATTTGTAATTTATTTTTTTAATGAGTACCGTAAACTGGAGTAAAACCAATCAATGATTTGCGTTTTTTGTTTATATAGCTTATAAGTAGGGGCACAAATACTAATATTTCTTAGATAGAATGTTTAACTTTTCATTTATCTATTCCCAAATTTATATAACTCTCTTAAAGCCCGTTCACTGCCATTTTTCTAATTAAGTTTGAGTGGAATTACCCTGTATGTTGGGGTAAAACCGATCATCTTTTTAAGTTCTGTATTTTAGCTTTTTGTGCTGTTCTCCACTTAAAACCGATCAGAATTTTAGTGTTTATATATAATTTTCATTAACACAGTAAAGTTGGCTAAGTTTTAATGATCAAAATAATATTGCAACTGGATACTAATTCACTGGGTTCCAGGCACAACTTTCATTACAAGTATATTAAGAAAGACATAAAAAGTAAACAAAAATAACTAAAAGGTAACAAAATAAAGTCTTCAGTCAACATTCATTCTTGTATGTGTGTACTCGGCGTGACAGCCCATGAATGGGCTCAGGCCTACTGGCAACGTCCCTGCCTTGCGACTATGGATTAAGGCAGTACGTGTGGTTAAATGTAGACATCTCCACACCGTATTCCAGTCTTCAACCTGAGAAGTGAATCTTCTCATTGTTGCATAGCAACATTGCGACATTGCAAGGAAAACGCACACTATAATCTTGACTGACCGGGAATCAAAACCAGGGCCACGTAGTGGAAAACAAGCACGCTGACCAAGAGCTAGCCACAAGGCTTTGACATCTTGTAAATATGTAAAAGTATGTCTTCCTCCTCTGATACAACTCTTTACATGCATAACATCTGTCTTTCTATCTTCCTGAGTATCTGAAATTTTTGGAAATGAAAAAAGTGATCTTTTGGATAAAAATTCTTTCTCATGAAATTAACAATGTTTTTGTAATTATATTTCAACTTAGCGAACAAATTTTGTGGTTGCTTTTTTGTTGGAAATCGATCCAATACAAAATGACATATCTTAAGATCATCCTCATGATTCCAACACTTCTTTATTTCCTAACAAACAACTTCCATTTTCAGATTCTTCTCCGGCTGACGAATTCAGAAACCTCTTTACCCATTC